TGTATAGTATTGGACAAACCACATGTAAAAACCGTACTAAATGAGTTGTCAGACCACATTCCACAATAAGCTGTTTTAGTTCAGTGATGCTCTTGATTTGATTCAATGTTCGACTAACATGAATAAATTCTTCTTTTCCTTCATACAGTAGAATCGGTTGTCGTCGAATAAAACTTTGATTCATCTTCGATTAGTAAACGATCAATTCGTTGCATTATTTCTTGTTTAAAATCATTGAATAAAGCGAATGCATATATTTGTGCATAATATTTCAACCAAGATATGATAGCAATAATTTGTGTGCTCTAACTTTTGTCTATTATTGACAATGAGCGTCAATTTTTTTATATTCTGCTCAAAGTGAACATAATCATTATGCAGCGCGTTTGCCACATTGTCTTCAGTGATAACTAACATTAAATTCATATGAATTCGATTGACAAATAAACGCTCTAGCTTCACTGAATTATTGTTTTAAATGTTGTTCAAAATCAAGTTCATCAGTCAACTCTATTCTCCCCCAACATTCTTTAATTTTATCACATAAATTCAGTTTTCTATCAATATAGCTAAAGATTTTTGCCGAATATTTTCAAAAATCATTGTCATTACTAATAATGTGTTCTAGAATTTCATCGTATCTATTCCTATTATCTACAATCCAATTTTTCAAAAATTTCATTTCTAATTTTATTAAACGATTGATGAATTAATGTTTCACCCACACTTGTTTTATAGTTGTTTTCCATAATTTTTCGAAGAAATTCAATAAACGGGTGAATATTAGCACAAGATTCAAATATTGTGGAAAAACCGTATTTTATTGCTTGTTAAAAAATAGGCAATGACATTTGATCGTCGACTAGTGTCGTTATACAACGTATCAAATTGATGAACGGTTGTAATTTTTCTAGATTATTGACGTTATATTAATCTAAATTTATTATCTCTTCGTTGATAAGTGTGTACGTCGTTGATACAATCTCAATATCTTTTATACTTTCAGAAAGTATAAAAGATATTGAGATTCTATCAACGTGATAGTATCACATCAAATGAGACAACAATCAGATTCATGCAACTGTTTTTCATTAATGGATATCCTTAGCAGTCCAAAATAAATCTGTTAATTCGGTGGTCATTTGTGGTGGAATCTGGTAAAACAGTTCATTTTTCTGCACAGGCGTATAATATTGTGCGTTCTCAGATATCAATACATTAGGGTCTTCAGTCTACAGTTTGCTGAAATTAGCTATACAAGCATTGACCATAATTGTACATCAGGTGATAGAGCGACGTTACCGCGAACAACATTACCGCGAACACTTGTTTATTGGAAAAGTCTAATGAACGAAGTCGGTTTTGCATCTTGTAAGTCATGTTTTTTCAAACTTAACTGGTGACTAGTCATTATCTGATACAGTCACAGATAGCTAGTTTCGCATCATGATAATATGTTTTGTGTGGAAACACTTTTCGAACTCACTCGCACAATGCCCTCCCCCTCGACATGATATACAAAATGCAAAACCACCCTCATTTATTCTTCTTTTCCAATAAACGGGTCTTCGCGGTAATGTCGTGTCGCGACATCAGGTGAATCTTCATCGTCGTTGTCAATAAGCTGATTTTGCTGTTGTTGCTGTTCTTTTTGTTTTTCAAGGTTATGAATGATTTCTTATTCAATTTTCGAACAAGGAAAATGTAATACCACTTAGGAAAACACTCGCAAGTGATTTGAAGTTTCCTTTTATATAAAAATGTTTACCGTTCCTTTCACAAATATAAATTAGGACTAGTTTGTATTCAGAAAAATAAAGAATTGAAAGAGCTACAAAATAAGCTATAGTACATTGTTTCAAACATTAGGTTCAATGGACTTATTGGCAAAATACTGAGCAGTACAGTAGTTTTGACTTATGAGAAAACGACGAATGTAGTACAGTGCTGTAAACATATCAAGATCCGGAATGATTTTTATACAAGAAAATACAGGAAATAACGAGCTTCTTGTAAATGTATGAAGGCATACATTTCTACACTAAATACTATATAAGTAGGATGATTGTTGCTTAAAGTACGTGACAAAAATATCAGCTTTTTCTTTTGACTTTTTTGTCAATCACGCCAGCTAAAAGAATGCTATAAACAGACAACAAACTGAAACATTTTTCTATCCGGTATCATGGTATCTCTCGAGTATTTTGACAATTATTCTATATGGGCATATTTTTGAGAAGCTTATTTATTCATTTTAAGGTTCAGAAAATTCTCCATCTTTCTGTGTATGGGCTTTGGTCAAGGTCTTTGACATCGTACGAAAAATTTGAGGAACAAAGTGGATGGTCTTCGTTGAACCGGTGACGAAAAATGATAAATAATTTTTTCAACGAGATCATGAGCATTTTTTAAAGTCAGAATGTTGGAAAGTGGAAAATTTTTTTTTTTTTTGGGGAAGGAACACACATTTTTGTGACGGACACAGTCACACACTAATTAGTTGGATTTTTGTGACGGACCTAGTCACACACTAATTACTTAGGTTCTTGTGACGGACACACTAACACACTAATTAGTTAGATTTTTGTGACGGACGCAGACACACACAGAGTGTGACGGACACACCATACACAAACAAGGCGGACGGCCGACAGATCGAAAAAGTAATTGAGTGGACCGACAGACTGACAAGCGACCAGCGAACCGACAGGCCGACATCAGCTAGTTCATCTGAAGCACAGAAGTACTCAGTTTCGAATCTCATTCTGGAAAGTAAAGATCAGAAAGGAGCTGGACATTCGAAATCAGGTTAAATTCGAATTACAACAGAAAGAAATCAACCGAGATCTGAAGTGTGAGTGAACCTTACTTTCCCCATTTGCGTTTTTATTGGCTTGACTGTGAAATCTATGGTCATACGGGAAAAAATGTCAGTTTTTTGGCGGTTTGTTGGTGGGTGTGGATTGACAGACCGACGAAGTAATTAGCGGACCGACAGACCGATAAAATAATTGAATTTTTGCGACAGACACAGTCACACACTACTGTTGTCGCTTGATTTCTTGCGTTTTACCCGACCATATTATCTTGCCTATAACTTTATAAGCAAACAAAATTTTGAAAAACGGAAAATCCCGTCAAACTCAGCTTGAATTTCTCTATTAGATTAGCTAAAAAAATGTGGTTGTTTATTTTTGACTTTGAACAACGTCGGTCATAACTTACGTGCAGTGGCTCATAGGTAAGTCAATGGAAAACACTGTTGTTGCTAAATATTCCAAAACAAAAAACTAACTTGATACTACAAAATATTCAGAACACGTTTTTATTCGTGAAAAACACAATAGTAAATGTTATAAGACGTTACTTTACGTAACAGTGAATGTCAACTTTAAAATCTTCAATTCCCTAGTGAATGGTGAACAGATATGTTCAACCTCTCGTATCATACGTGATCCCAGCTGTGTCGTCGAACTCGTTACTTGATCTGGATAGTATTCTTCAATCATATGTGTTAAAAACGACAAAATTTCGAGTTGTGTTACTGCAGAAGGGATGATTTCTATAGACCGTTAGCTGTTTATTTTGTTCTAGGAAGGAATGGAAACATTACTTCATACCTTAATTCAATTGTTATCATTAACTGATCTTGTGACTGTCTCGTGTGCAGTGGGTGTCCTATCAAATTTAACATGTAATAATCAATTTAATAAAATGGCTGTTGTCCAATATAATGGTATCGAAACGTTGATTAATACAATCATACAAGCTGATGATAAAGAAGAAATAATTGAACCAGCTGTAAATGTTAAAGTTTCTATTTATTTTTATTACTCTACAGAGTTGTTTTTCTGCTTTCACATATGTGCATTACGCCACATAACATCACGTCATCCGCATGCTAGTGATGCGCAAAATTTTGTTCGCGATATCAATGGTATATCGGTTATTCGATTGCTTAATCCAATTAAATATAGCTGGCCTATTATTAAATCAACAATAAGTTTAATTCGAAATTTAGCCTTATCGCCAAACAATTTAATTATATTACGTGAAAATGATTCTATACCAAAATTAGCTCAACTTCTTATCCGTTCGCATCAAGAGTTACAACGACAAGCATCGAAAGTGGAAAGCAATAATAATAATAATAACATAACTTTTTCTGATATATTAGAAGCGTCAGTCGGTGCATTACATATTAACGAAAAATGTTTTATTACCATCTTAATAACTCCAACTGAGTACGCAATTAAACCGAAGACCAAGTTTTAATTTCTGGCCTACGTCACCGACTCTGCGTCTGAAACGGAGAGTTTTTTTTGGAAAACATCAGCACTTTAAGAGGATGAGTTTTGCTTTAACATAAAGTACGCCAACTTAGCCGGAAAACTTTGAAAAAAAATCCATACTACCTCGGACGGGCTTCGAAAATTACGCACCCCCCTTCCGAAAATCCTGGATCCGCCACTGGTCAAACCAACCGCCAAGTGCTCACAGCTGAAATAGCTCTTAGTTCTCGTTTCTCTACTTTTTTTTGCAAGAAAGAATGATGTCTCGCAAATACTTTTTCGGTTTTGTTCTTTTCCATTCCATTCCTTTTTTTATCGATTTTCTCTTTTCACCGCCATATTATTTTGACATAACTCACTCCTTGCCGAAAAAAATGTTATTTTTGTCATTCGCATTTAGTTAATAACTAGCATTGGAGAAGATAACGTGTGTAAGAATTTGCCCGTTCGACAGTAATCACAAATGCAAATATTTACTTTGACATATAAGAAAAAGCAAACTCGTTTCTTTTTCGTTCTGTTTTTATGACTTCATGCGGAATCGGAAGGAAAAAGAATCAATTTCAGATGTGCAGAAAGAATACGAGATATAAAAGACAACCACCATTTGTAACAAACTATAGTAGTAAACAACATATTCTTCTCGGATTTTCAAAAACTTCATTCCACACAACACTCTTTCAGCACTAACAATAAACTGATTACCGAATGGACATAACAGCAATTCTAGCTGCTCTAGCAACGGCAGGCGGCTATGTTTCACAGGGAGCTACGGTAATTCAATATTTGAAATGGATCTACGACAACGACAATACAATCAACATGATTTATTCCAAAGATGGAAAACGTATTACATTTACAGCTGAAGAAACACCCTATCGAGACTTATTAACTGAACCACCTGGTGTGCAAAAGTATGCTTATGCTGTTAAAGGAAGGCGTAAATTATGTTTCAAAGTTATTGAAATTGATAACAGTAATGGAAAATGTGATAAGTTGTTAGAACAAATTTCGACACGTTTTGCTGCTCGCCCTTCTGCAGTAACACAACTCGAAATTTTGTCGTTTTTAACACATATGATTGAAGAATACTATCCAGATCAAGTAACGAGTTCGACGACACAGCTGGGATCACG